ATATATATATATATATATTATCATAACTAAAATTTTCAATATACTTAATAATAATGTTGAGAATATTGTTATCTAAAAACATTAGGATATTACAGTTATCAAATTTTAAGTTATGGACAATTATTACAATATAATTTGTTATTAAAAAATATTTATTTATTATAAATTTTAAATATATATATTTATCTTATGGATTACGCGTACTAAAATTAAAATACAAATGTGAGTGTATGGGTCAACTCACTGGCTTGGAGTTGGATATGAAATTGCAAATTGCAAAAAAACGGCTATGGTCAACATGAAGCAATGGCCGCGGTCTTCTTTACTACCATGATTGGTCAACATTGGAGATACCTAATCTCGTTGACTTGGTTATTACTTATTATGCTTGTGGTGGCTTTTGGTAGAAATTGATTTTCCTCACTTTATCCTGTTGTTGTGGGTGTGTTTCCTCTCTGTCTCTCTTTTTTTTTCTTCTTTTTTTTTTCTTTTTTTTAATTTATCCAAAGTGGCCATTTTTAGTTTCTGACCTTGTGCCATGTTGCAATATTCTTGGTGGCCTCTTTTACTTTTATTCTTTTAATTTACTATAATTATAATGACAACACTAAAATTCAAATTTAAAATTTGGATATACTTCTACCTTTTCTTTCCTTTCTAAATTTTAAGACATTTTTGTACTAATTAAGTGTTCATGATAAATTATTACAACATTCTCTCAATATACAAGACTATTTTTACTTTATTATTTGTCTTTATTATAATAAGACTTTTTTATAAATGAAAATTAGTTAAATTTTGATATATATATATCTCTCCCTTTTCTCGTGTTGTTTTGTTTTGACTGTTATACAGGTGATTATCAGCGCGAGGCTGAAGATGTTGGTGATGAAGCTTAGGCTTCTATGTTAGGTTTTGCTCTGATAGGACATGTGACATCGGGACATAGATAGGATTAGTTTAAGATGTTCTTATTAAATTATTTTGGAAAATTCAATTTTATTTCTTTGTAATTTTACCGGCATGTTATTTGGATTAAGTTTATGAATGTGAACTCTTTACCCTTACGTGGTTGGAAATTTGAT